AGGGTTACTCTTGATTTTAATTGTTATCATCATGGTGGATTCCTGGGCATCTTTCCATGCCCAGCTCTGAAATCACCACCTCCAAGAAGCCTCCCTTCACCGTACTGGTAAGAATCGGCCTTCCTTGCTGATTCCCTGGCATTTTAGCCCTTTAAGCTGGTGCAGGTCCCACTGTGACGCTCTGATTCTTTTTGTTCGCTCCCCACCGAGCACGGACGAACACACAGGGAGCAATGCTCCCTCCCACCCCTGACGTGTGTACGTCCTAATGAGACCGAAATCTCTTTCCTGCCCACATCCTGGTCTGATCTCAGGCAGGTCCTGGGAGGCAGACCCAGCAGGAAAAATTCTTTTTCTAGATATGAGGAAGTGATTTCTGCCTTGATTAACACACAAGGGCCCAGTGTTGACTGAGGCCGACTCACCCTGGGCAGGGTGTGGCACTAAGCACCTCACACGCTCTCCCGTCTACTGCTCAGAACAACTGCAGAGCTGCTACTTTTACCTTCATTCTGCAGACGAGGAGGCTGGCTTGCTGGGAATGGCTCAGACCTGCTCATGGGAGTCAATTGTTAGATTTTCAGGAATTATGTGAGCTGGCTATTAAACACAACCATTATTAAAAACTAAATCATGTAAATGTAGGGTTAAGAACAAAGGTAATAAATACAATTCATTACTCCCTAATTATTTTACCAGGTTTCACTCTCATCTGTATTCACTCTCATCTTAGCACAGAATACAAGTGCTAAGGTTACGCACTTGTGTTCTATTTGTCTGGTAGGAGTACTGGGTACACGGCGCTGTGTGGGGCAGTCACGCCACAGTGGTGGTTTGAAATCAGCCAGGGCGAGAGTACTCACACCGTGGAAACGGGCAGACGCTGTGGGTCCGGAGAGCCGGTGACTTTCTCAGCCCGCCACACACAGGCGCAGAGGCCGTGACTGCCCAGGGTCACCCAGCTGGGAAGGAGCAGAGCTGACTTTGAGCCCAGGCAGTGTGTTGCCAGTGCCCACGTTTGTGCACCTCTGTGCTGATTCTGCCCAAGGTCCTAGTCGCACACCCACCTCACTGAGATAAGGGAGACAGTCGCACTCTTCCAGCCCATCCTGTCTCCTAGTGCCCCTCCTGCCCTCCTGCCTCCCGGGGGAGTCAGGTCTGCCCCGGAGCAGCCCAGCCCATGTGTACATTCAGCCTGGCAGTTGGAGGCCACTCACTGGCCACCTTGTCTGCCCACTCCCAGCCTTTGTCTGGCCATCTGCCCATCAGCTGTGGGGCTGCCTGGATGGGGGAGAAGTAGGGGCTGCCTTGCCTGTGACCCAGGCCTGCCCTTGCTTGCTGCCCTCTTTATCCCACCTGGGACCTCCAAGGCCCCTCCCATCACTGGCAGTGACACCCCCCGCAGAGTCCCCTGAGGCTTCCCTTGTGCTGCAAGAACAAAACCAGGTCAGGTCATTCCTCTACTCAGCACCCCCCACTGTCTTCCTTTCTCACCTGCAGAAGCCGGAGCATCACAATGGGCCACGAGGCCTACCCCATCTGGCCTCTCGCCCTCTGGCCTCTGTGCCTTTCCTCAAATATGCTAAGCACACTCCTGCCCCAGGACCTCTGTACTTGTTATTCTTGCCCCAATATTTATATGATTTGTTTCCTCACCTCCTTCAGGTCTTTGCTGAAATGTCACTTTCTCTGACCCTTCTATTTAAAATTATAGTATCTGGCCCTGGTTGGTGTAGCTCAGTGGATTGAGCGTGGGCCTGCGAACCAGACGCTTGTGATTCAATTCCCAGTCAGGGCACATGCCTGGGTTGCTAGCCAGTTCCCAGCAGGGGATGCATGAGAGGCAGCCATACATTGATATTTCTCTCCCTCTCTCCTTCCCTTCTCCTTTAAAGATAAATACATAAAATCTTTTAAAAAATAAAATAAAATTATAGTATCTGTTTCACACATTTCCTATCCCCTGTTTCCACCCTTTGGCCTCCTTAGCACTTGTCTCTGGTGCACTATAGTTTTATTGATTGTCTGTTTCTCCCCAGTAGAATGAGAGCACCAAGAGGGCAGGAATTTTTTTAATTGTATTGTATTGATTATGCTATTACTGTTGTCCCCCCTCCACCCAGCACCCCCCCTCCCTCAGGCAATCCCCCACCATGGTTCATGTCCATGGGTCATGCCTCTAAGTGACTTTTCATCCCCATGGCTATTCTGTAACTACCTGTTTGTACTTCTTAATCCCCTCACCTCTTCACCCATCTCCCCACATCCCGCTTCCCATCTGGCAACCATCAAAATGCTCCCTGTGTCCATGATTCTGTCTCTGTTCTTTTTGTTTGCTTAGTGTGTTTTTTAGATTCAGTTGTTAATAGATTTGTATTTGTTGCCATTTTATTGCTCATAGTTTTGATTTTCTTTTTCTTAAAAAAGTCCTTTTAACATTTCATGTAATAATGGTTTGGTGATGATGAACTCCTTTAGTTTTTCCTTGTCTGGGAAGTTCTTTATCTGCCCTTCAATTCTAAATAATGTCTGCTTGGTAGAGCAATCTTGGCTGTAGGTCTCTGCTTTTCATGACTTTGAATATGTCTTGCCAGTCCCTCTGGCCTGCAAAGTTTCTTTTGAGAAAGCAGCTGACAGTCTTATGGGAACTCCCCTGTACGTAACTAACTTCTTTTCTCTTGCTGCTTTTAAGATTCTCTCCTTATCTTTAACCTTTGGCATTTTGATTATGATGTGTCTTAGAGTGGACCTCTTTGCATGCATCTTGTTTTGAATTCCCTGTGCTTCCTGGACTTGCATGTCTATTTCCTTCACCAAATTAGGAAAGTTTTCTTTTATTATTTTTTCAAACAGATTTCCAATTTCTTACTCTTTCTCTGCCCCTTCTGGCACCCTTATGGTGCGAATGTTGGACCTCTTGAAGTTGTCTCAGAGGTTGCTTATACTATCCTCATTTTTTGGATTCTTTTTTCTTCTTGTTCTCATTGGTTGTTTTTTTTTCTTCCCTGTGTCCCAAGACAATGATTTGATTCTCGGCTTCATCCACTTTACTGTTGTTTTCCTATAAATGTTCTTTATTTCAATTAGCGTATCCTTCATTTCTGACTGGATCTTTTTATGCTGTTGAGGTCCTCACTAAGTTCCCTGAACATCCTTATAACCAGTGCTTTGAACTCTGCAGCTGATAGATTGCTCTTATCCATTTTGTTTAGCTCTTTTTCTGGAGTTTTGATCTGTTCTTTCATTTGGGCCTTATTTCTTTGTCTCCTCATTTTGGCAGCCTCTCTGTGTTTGCTTCTGTGTATTAGGTAGAGGTGCCTTGACTCTGTGTCTTCGTAGTGTGGCCTAATATAGTAGGTGTCTTGTAAGGTCCAGTGGCACAGCCTCCCCTATCACCCAGGCTGGATGCTCGAGGTACACCCTTTGTGTGGGCTGAATACCTGCTCCTCTTGTAGTTGAGCTTTGGTTGGCAAGTCAATGGGAAGAATTTACCCAGGCCAGTTACCTGCAAAGACTATCTGTGCCCACTGACCACCACCCTCCACCCTCCATGGAGGGTCAACTGTACTAGCGGCAGGGTGGTGGTGCTCCCAGGTCTGTGGCTCTCCACTGGGTGCACAGGCTCTGGGGTTTCCAGGTGGTTCAGGCCAAGGTCAGCCTCTGCCTGTGTTTTGCTCAGGGCTGCCCTTCCTGAGCTATAAAGCAGTCTGAGACGGCTACTGTGTGTGCTGGGCTTGGAGATTCCCAAATGAAGCCAAGCTGTGAATCTAGACTGGCTACTGCTAATGCTGGGCCTGGAGCTCACTGAGGCCAGCTGTTGCTTATTTGAGAGGATTTAGGAAGCTGTGCAGCAGGAGCCAAGACCAGCCATTCCTATGGAACAGCTGCTTGAGTGGGCCCTTAAGTCAGGTGGGGTGGAATCTCTGGGAATCTCCAAGGTGGGTCAAACCATGTTAGCCAGGTTGATGGAGTCTCAGATATGGCACTGTTTTGCTGGCCCCATTTGGATAGATGTGGCTTCTTTAACTCTAGTTGTCAGACTTCTATTCAACTTGATTTCTGATCGTTCTAAGTGATGGTTGTTCTATATTTTAGCTGTAATTATGATGTGGTTGTGTGAAGAGGCAAGCCATGTCTGCCTATGTTGCCATCTCGACCAGAAGCCAGGAATTTTTGTCTGTTTTGTTGAATGAATGGATGGGTGAATGGAGGGAGGGATGGATGGAGGGATGGATGGAGGGATGGATGAATGAATGAGTGAGTGCATGAAAGAAGGAAGGAGGGCACAAATGAACAAAATATTTCCAAATGTCAAGAAAGCCTTTGAGGTGCTGGAAGGGAGGGTGGCCATGTGATCTGTCAGGTATGAGGCCTGGAGATCCAGGCCCAGCTCTGCCCCAATTTACTGTGTGACCTTGGGTAGCCCCCTTCCCCTCTCTTTCCCAAGTCTAATGAGGAAAGCAGTGAGGCCAAGTATAAGGAACACTGGCTCTGGAGTCAGACAGGCAAAGCTCAAACTCCCCTGGGCCATTCCACTGCTGGTGGGGGCTTGGGGGGCCATCACTTCTCCCTGAGCTTGTCTCCCCATCTGTGAGGTGGGATGGGGTGGGAGGAAACATAAGATGCTTTGCGCAGCGCCCCAGCACAGCTCCTGGTACATAGAAACTCTTCAGTGAGTACATCTTTATTGTTTTAAACCAGTAAGAGGCTCCCCTACAGCTGGACAGATGGTGGGCCTGCATGAAAGAGGATGGCGTGGTGGGAGCATCGCCTGACCCCAGCCTGCCTGCCTTGGGCCCAGGCCTGGTGGAGGTTGCATCCTCATTATCATGAACATCTATCATTTACGTTTGCTTCCTCAGTGGGGTGGCTTCCTCGGTCCCTGGTGCAGGCCAAGCTTTGTCTCCTGGGCCCTCCGCCTCACGCTGGGGTGGTGTGGGCAGGTGGGCTCAGCCACAGGGACCCTGCACCACCCCTCATGCTCTCCTCCGCCTGCACAGTGTTCATCTGCAGCTTCATGGTGGCTGCCCCCGTTTTTGGCTACCTGGGTGACCGCTTCAACAGGAAGGTGATCCTCAGCTGTGGCATTTTCTTCTGGTCGGCGGTCACGTTCTCCAGCTCCTTCATCTCCCAGCAGGTGAGGCCTGTCCAGACTTCCTGGCCAGAAGCCCAGTGTCCCATCTGTTCCTCCAGTGGGTGACCAGTCAGGTTGACCAGCCCCTTTGCTTGAACCCCAGATTATGACTACCTTCCAAAGATAGTGGGATGAGGGGGGTCTTTGGGGATTTTTTATAAATTGGCCTTGCAAATAGAGCCTTCTCCACACCGGCCTGAACTGAGGGAGCTGCACCTCAGAGTGGCCCCCTGACTATTTCTAAGCTGCCTCTGATGTGGGGAGGATGCAAGGAGCAGGGTAACTAGTCGGGCCTAGGGGTCAGGACCCTCTGGTTCTAGTCCTGGCTTTGCCATCACATCTTGCTGTGTGACTGTAGGGAAGCCACTCCCCCTGTCTGGGCCTCCCACAGTTCGCTCTTCATTTGACAGCTCGCTAACTATGGGGGTCAAAGTCCTAGGGAGGCAAACATCCCTTCAACATAAGGAAGATGTTTTTTACTCTGCTCCCACAGCTCTGGGTTTGATTATCCCAACCCTGTTGCCCACTCAGCCCTGTGATCTGGAGAAATTTACTTAACCTTCTCTAAGCCTCAGTTTCTGCATCTTTCAAATGGAGATAATCCTTCTCAATGGAAAGATTTATTGTGAGAAATAACTGAGCTAATGAATATCCAGGCCTTAGAACATGGAAGGTGTTCAGCAAATCATTGTTACTATTCTCTCTTCCAAAAAGGGAATATGTTGCTTTGAGAGGTAGTGAGTATCCCATCACTAGGGATGTTCAAGTAGAGGAAGGACAATCACATGATGATTACGGTAGAGAGAGATAGAGAAAGAAGGGGAAAATACCAGGATCTGACCTCAAGGGGTTTTCAGCCTGGAGGACAAAAGAGGAGACCCCGGCACTGTCCTTGGGAGCACCAGGCTGGGGATGGGAGGATGCGGCAGTAGCCCTCAGTGCAGAGAGAGCAGCATTTTAAAATCCATGGGTCAGGGAAGGCCTCCTGGAGGAGGTGGCATTCGACCTGGGTAAGCAGGACAGGAAGATTGGGTGAGGAGAGCATGGGCAGAGGGAGCAAACTCATGGGTGCAGAAATGGTGGAGTGTGTTGAGAAATCGAGGAGGACAGTGGTTTAGCTGGAAAGAAAGGCAGGGACCCAGTCACGGAGAGCCTCACGGGGCAGATTCCAGGGCTCCGGCTGCCTCCTGAGGGCAGTGCAGGAACCCAGGAGAGTGTGAAGAAGGGAAAAGCTGGGTCAGGTTTACAATGATGGAGAGGAGATTGTAGGCGAGTGCAGAGCGAATCAGGAGGTTTGGGGTTTCAGCACTGCTTCATGGGGCAGCTTCCAAGGAGCATCAGGCTTGGGGAAGCTTTAAAGCCTGAAGGACCGTCAGCCCGGACACTCGCAGTAAAAACTGGGGCCTAGACCAGAAGCCCCTAGGGCCCCTCTAGGCCTTGTCCTGTCCCTGGCCAGGCCCCTGGTCTCCTGATCGCTGGTGCTTCTGGGGTTGACCAGTGAGTCCAGAACCGTGATGCCGGTGCTGGGTCCCACTCTGGGTGCATAGGCGGGAGGCAGGGGTAGGGAGAGAAGATGAGCAAAGGCAGAGAGAAAAAAACAGACAGATCACCCCAGTTGATGTATAAATTCATTGCAACCACAATCCAAGTCCCACAGGAGTTTTTGGTGGACCTTGGCAATGTGATTCTGAAATTAATTTGGCAGAGAAAATGGCTAGGAACAGCCAAGAGCATTGGGCAAACTAAAAGTGAAAGGGGACTTGCTCCATCAGCTCTTCCAACATGGCCGTTCTGACGGACGCAGCAGAGGGACAGATCAGTGAGACAGGCTCCTTCCCCGGGAACTGAGTGCAGGACGAAAGTTGCATCTCACGTGGTTTTGGGAGAATCGACTATCCATCTGGAGGAAAAATAAAGTTGAGTCTGTATTTCAAACCACATGTCAAAATAAATTCCAAATAGGTCAAAGTAAAGTAAAAAGCAAACAACAAAAACCTAGAACTATAACGCAATAAGAAAGAGACTAATAACACAGCAGAAAACCAGGCAGTGACAGGCAGTTCCAGAAGGTACCCCGTGGGCAACAGAGGAAGGAAGGGATGGCACTGTCTGGACTAAGCAGGGACATGCAAATGAAAACAAGAATGTGATACCATTTCACACCCATCAGATTGGCAACAATTAGAAAGGCTGGCAATACCAAGTGTTATTAAAGCTGCCAGGAGGAGTGTGAATTGATACTCTCAAAGAGCAAAAAACGGCAGGAATTTACAAAATTCTAGCTGTGTACATCTTATGGCCCAGCCTTCTACTTTTCAGTTAGATGCCCAAGACAGAAGCTTCAACTGGTGGACACAAGGTTGCGCGCAAGGACATTTGTTGCAGTCTTGAAATAGAAAAGGGGGAACAGCCCAGAGGAACATGGCTGAGGGAAGCCCGGATAAAATGGGGTGTCTTCACCCAGTGAGACTCTTGATCACAAAAAGAATGAACTAGATCTAATTAAAAGATAAGAATGGGAGGAAAAGCAAGTTGTGGGACAAGATGCATGGACCTGTCCTTTATAGTCAGTATGTAGATGTGCAAAAACAAATGCACAAGCTGGTGGGTGCTCAGGGGAGGAGGGGGCCACAGGGTCCCTTGTCTGAGAGGTCTGATCTGCCTGCTCTCGTACCAAGGGGAATGGCCGAGGACCGCCCTCCCACTCTCTTGCTCTCTCTCTAAAATATAACAAACATAAAATATTAGAGAAAAGTTTAATCTTTTTGTGATGGAATAGGCCCTCCTGAACGAGATGGGGAATCCAGAAGCCATTAAAGGAAAATGAACAGAATGGACGCCCCCAAATTAAACAACACGAATACAAAGTGGAAAGAAAGATGATGGGACGTATTTGTGATATACGTAATAAAGGATCAATAGCCATGATATATAAAAAGCTATTAGCAATCAAGGCAAGAAAGACAATCCAACAGAAAAATAGGCAAAGGCTGTAGGCAAACGATCCCCAGGAAAAGGAGCAGGGTCGAGGGGCTAGGGAGAGACTCGGAGACGGAGAGAGTGAATGAGCTGTAGAAACGAGACAGCTGAGTGGGGCCGGGGAAGAGCTGGGAAGAGGGAGAGAGGGAAGCAGAAAGCCCAGAGCAGGGCTGGATGTAGGCAGTGCTGGCCGGATGGGTGGTCAGGGTGTGGCCGGGGAAAGATGACCAGGCTGGGTTCTCAGGCTCTGGGCAGCTGGAGGGACAGAGGGGACCGGTCCACATCAAAGGCATAGTACCACTGGCAGCTGGCATGGCCCCACCCTTCCCAGCTCAGCGGGGCTTTGCTCTTTGATGTGTGTATGGGAGAGGGTCACTGAGCCACCAGGCTGCCCTGCACACTCTGCACTCACACTTGATCCTCAGTGCTGTCAGGGTCAGCCCAGCTGCCCTGCTTGGGGGTGGGACACAGAGTGGGGGTGACTCGAGGCTCCCAAGGTGGGGGCCAGAACACAGGGAGGAAGCCCCCCCAGTTGGAGGGGCGTGTGAAGACACAGGCTCATGTCCTCCATGCTCACGAGGACTGAGGCGCCTGTCTGGAACGGACCTACAGTTCTCAACTTGGTGAAGTCAAGTCCCATCCCAGCACTCCAGACCCAGGCAGACCCACTCTGTGGAGGGGGAAACTGAGGCCCGCAGTGGCCTGGCCGTGTAGTTGTTGCTGAGGCAGGGGTTAGGCTCCATCCTCTCCTCTAGATCCGGGACCCTGCTGAAGGGTGGAGCAAAGTGGGGACCGAGGACGAGCAGGCGGAGGGGGAGGACAGCCCCCCACATTCTCTGCCCCTCTCCCGCAGCACTTCTGGCTGCTGGTCCTGTCCCGGGGGCTGGTGGGCATCGGCGAGGCCAGCTACTCCACCATCGCGCCCACCATCATCGGCGACCTCTTCACCAAGAACACACGCACGCTCATGTTGTCTGTCTTCTACTTCGCCATCCCGCTGGGCAGGTGAGGATCTGGGCAGGGTCCATCTGGACTTCCGACCACCCCCTTTCCCTGAGGCTTGGCCCTCTGTGACCTGCACACGTGGGTGGTCAGCCTTGGAGAAATGCTGGACCTGCTCCCCCACCGGCTGGCTGGGGAGTGGGGCAGGTGGGTGGGTGCCCCGCCTCATAGGCGGTGAGCACCCCCTGCCCACCACGGCCACCTGTCCTCGTGACTGTGCCTGTGTTCTCTGCAGCGGCCTGGGCTACATCACTGGCTCCAGCGTGAAGCAGGCAGCCGGAGACTGGCACTGGGCCTTGCGGGTAAGGACGCCCCCAGATCAGTTTGTGCCTGCGGTCACCCAGAGTTTCAGGGACAGAACCCGGGCTAGGATGCAGGCCTCGGTCTCCGGGTTCCCCACATCGTGGGCCTGCAGTCTTCTAGGTTGGTCCCCGCTGTGGTGTCGGGGAGCCCAGGTGTGAGCAGACCCCAACAACCCCCCCACCCCAGGGGTCCCCTGGGGGCTGAGAGGACGAATTCTCCCACCATATCAGGAAATTCCAGGTCCGCGATGGCACTTCCTGCTTCGAGCCCTGGCACTGTGCTGGGGTGAGGCCGACAAGACCTCTGTGTAGGGGGGCCTCCCGGGGTCTGCAGCCACTTCCTGTCCCCGGCGAGGATTCGGGACAAGTATGCCAAGGCCCCGGGACAGTGCAATCAGAGGAAACAGAGATCCCCAGTCTTGCAGAGGAGAGGAAGCTTAAGACAAAGTGTTTTTTCCTCAAAAGCAGGAAGGAAGCAGCCTCCGTGGACTTTCTTAATGGGGGTAGGAGTAAATGGAGAGGAACATCCCAGCCCATTGGCTCCCAGGCCTGGTGGGGGTGGGAGCAGGTTTCCATGTCTCATCAGCTGGTGAAGGAACTGACATCTTGGAATCCAGGCTGCCAGGATGTCCCCCTGTCTGGAGAGAGGGCTGGGGCCTGGTACTTCTGTCCCTGACACTGGGCAGGCCACAGGAAAGACCCAAAGGGGGCCCTGAGCCTCTTCTCCTGGGGCCCGCATGGGCCTGTCGCGAGTGAAAACCTACCTGATCTGTTTGCTGATGCTTCACGCCCAGCCAGTCCCTTCCCAGCGCCCCCGGGTGAGGATCTGCCTTAGGAGACTTTCCCAGACCCGGGGCCCCTAAACCCTGTTAGCTGACTTCACTCCCAGTAGCTTTGCTCAGCAGTCCAATCAGAAAGGCTGGGCAGGTGTGAGCTCAGAGGAGGGACCCCGAGCCCAGGGAAGGCGTGACTTGCCTGCGCGCCCCAGCCGATGCAGCAGTTACGGAGCTGACTCGGTGCTGGGGTCCTGATGTGGTGTCCGTGCCCCACCAGGTGTCCCCCATCGTGGGCATGATCACAGGAACACTCATCCTGGTCCTGGTCCCAGCCACTAAGAGAGGCCATGCCGACCAGCTCGGGGGGCAGCTCAAGGCACGGACTTCGTGGATCCGAGACATGAAGGCCCTCATCCGCAAGTGAGTGCCGCTGGGAGGGGGCTGGTGGTTGAGTGGGGCGCCAAGATGAGAAGGCCCCCGATGCAGGGAGATCCACCCAGTACCCTCGCCCAGACCCCCTGCTGTCTCCGCTGCCAGCAGTGCTGGGAGTGACATTTTGGCCACTAGTGTTTTATTCTGCAGCCATAAGCTGTAAGGGAGGACATTAGAGGCCTTCTGGCCCCAGGGAAGGAGTCAGAGAGGAAAGGCCGCCGCCCGGGCCATCTGCAGGGCTCTGGCCCCGCTCAGCGCCGCTGCCCCGCCCTCTTCCCCAGCCGCAGCTACGTCTTCTCCTCCCTGGCCACGTCGGCTGTGTCCTTCGCCACAGGGGCCCTGGGCATGTGGATCCCGCTGTACCTGTACCGGGCCCAAGTCGTGCAGAAGACAGCAGAGACGTGCAGCAGCCCGCCCTGCGGGGCCAAGGACAGGTGGGGCCGGGCCGGGGAGCGCGGTGGGCGGCCGGGTGGCGAGGCACAACGGGCAGCAGTGCCAGCCCTCTGCCCCAGCGTCGTTCTTCCGTCAGCCCACACGCCACCGTCCTCTGTCCCCACAGCCTCATCTTCGGGGCCATCACCTGCTTTACGGGCTTCCTGGGTGTGGTGACGGGGGCAGGAGCCACGCGCTGGTGCCGCCTGCGGACCCAACGAGCCGACCCGCTGGTGTGCGCCGTGGGCATGCTGGGCTCCGCCATCTTCATCTGCCTCATCTTCGTGGCCGCCAAGAGCAGCATCGTGGGGGCCTATGTGAGTGCAGTGGGGGGTGCAGGGGGGTGGGGGACGTGGCCGGGCAGGAGATGCAGTCTGACTTATGGGGCCCTCTGTCCCCACGGGGAGGCTTCTATCTGCCTGCCCTGCTCTCTCCAGGCCCTGCCCAGGGCTCTGGTGCCCTTCGGGGCTGTGGGCCTGGTTTGATGAGCCACACGTTCCTCGAGACCCTGACTGCCAGGAGGTGTGGGCCGCAGGGGCAGGGGTGGGAGGCTTCTCTGCCAGCAGACAGAGGGCAGGGAGCAACCTGAGGCTGCTGGCGGGTGAGTGTCTCCTGACGGCTGTTCTGGTCTCTCCTGGGCAGATCTGCATCTTTGTCGGGGAGACACTGCTGTTTTCTAACTGGGCCATCACTGCGGACATCCTCATGGTGAGGCAGGCTGAAGTCGCCTCTGCTTGCTGACCAGGCCTCTAGACCTTTTGGGGCAGCTGGGAGGTGGAGGGAAGGGAAGGAAGAACTGGCAGGACTTGGTGGTGGGGTTGGGGGGTGGTGGGGTTGGGGGGCGGCAGGTTGGGAAGCTGAGCCAGGAGGTGGGGAGGGGATAAGCGCTGTTGGGGTCTGCGTGGGGCAGGGCCTGAAATCAGAGGGCTGAGCAGGAGTGGGTGTGGAGACTGGGGGTGTTTGTGGTGGGGGGCAGTCTGCAGGCTTAGGTTTGTGGCAGGGAGGCTGGCAGTGCCAGGCTGGCACCAAGGGGTGCTGCCCGCCAGCACTCCTCCCCCAGGGTCTGCAAGGCCATCCATCCAGCTCAGCCTGGGGCCCAAGCGCATCCATCTGCCCGAGTGCCCTCGGCTGTGGCCGGTGGACAGAGGCCGTCTTCACTGGACCAACAATGGGCTCCAGAGCAGCCGGCCAGGGACAAAGGGCTGTCTGAGCTCAGCAGGGGTTTGCGTTCCTGGGCGGGGTGTGGTGCAGCCTGGGAGGAGCTGGGAGGGGGCTGTGGACCTGGCGACTTGCAGCAGTCTGGAGGGTGGTGAGGGTTGAGGGTGGCACCAGGTCCTGTCCTCTGGGCCCCACCAAGTCAGTATCAGGAGAGGACTTGGAGGAGGGAGTGCAGGGACCAGCAGGGTGGGGGTGGGGGTAGGGTGGGGTGGGGACAGGGTCTGGGAGCTGACAGGGGGCAGGAGGCTGAAGGACTCCTCCTGGGCCACCCTCAGGACACTCAGCGTTTGGGGCCACAATATGGGGCAGCCCAGGAGATCTGAGTCCACCGGACAGTGGGGCCCCTGCCCGCTGTGCCCCTCCAGGAAGGCTGCTTTGCCTCACCAGAGTGTCCCTGCCTGTCCACTTCACCTGGGATGGTCACTCTCTTGCCCACACCAGTCCATGGGCTGGAGGAGGCACGAGTGGGGAGGGGGAGGTCTGACTCAGCTCTGTGCCTCAACATGGAGCCGGGGGGGGGCGGTCACTGCACATGCCTGGAGCGAAGGAATAGGAATCTGTTAGGATCAAGTGCCCTCGGTGCTGGACTGAACCCCCATCCCTGCCTCTGCCCCAGCAGCAGCCCCAGCTGCCGACAGGGCTTGGGTCCCAGGGAAACCGCGTCCTATTTTATTAAGTGTCCCAGCCATGTGACTACTGCTGGAAATGGGGCCACACATCCCATTGGATCTAGGTCTCCTCCCTGCCTCCTGTGATGGGTGGGGGGGGGGGCGCTCTCACAGACTGTCTGTCTGATGGCTGGCACTCTTAACTGGTTGAGGCAGCTAGAGCCCGGGGACCAGGGCCTCCGGGGGCACCCACTGCGCATGCTGCTACTGGCCCTGCACAGCTTTGGAGCTGTGCCCCTGTGGTTAGGGCCTAATGGGTCTGAGAAGGGTTCCTGGGGCCCAGCGGCTCCTGGCATTTGGTCCCGGGGGTGCCCATGGGTAAAAGTGGAGGCTCTCCAGACAGGGTCCTGCTGCCCACTCCCTTGTAGGCCAGCCTCACGGAGGGGACCAAGACGGATCTTTAACAGGTAGGTAGGTGAGGGTCGAAGGCTGAGAGGTCAGGGCTCCGAGCCCAGGGCTGCCTGACCCTGCGTGTAATCTGTGTCTCTCTGGGTCGCAGCTGGCTCTTCTGCAAGTGCCCAGTGACGAATCTAAGGCAGCCCGCTCTCGTGGGCAGCAGGGATCTGGCAGTGTGAGGGTTTCTGAAGTGTCCTGACTCTGGGGATGAGGCCAGGTGGGTGGCCCTGGCTCCTCTGGCCTCTGACCTGCCACCTCTTCCATAGTGTGTGGTCATCCCCACGAGACGGGCCACCGCCATGGCCCTGCAGAGCTTCACCTCTCACCTGCTGGGGGACGCTGGCAGCCCCTACCTCATCGGCTTTGTGAGTTCCTGGGGCAGGAGTGGCCATGGTGGGTGATGGGGTTCAGGTGGCGGGCCTGCCCTGACGCCCCCCACCATCCTCACAGATCTCCGACCTGATCCGCCAAAGCACCAAGGACTCCCCACTCTGGGAGTTCTTGAGTCTGGGCTACGCCCTCATGCTCTGCCCCTTCGTCGTGGTCCTGGGCGGCATGTTCTTCCTCGCCACTGCGCTCTTCTTCCTCAGTGACCGTGCCAAGGCTGAGCAGCAGTGAGTGGGGTAGGGTGGGCCTGCTGACCGTGCTCCACAAGCCTGTCTGGTGGCGGAGGGAACTCGGGTGGGCCACCCGGCCCCTGGGGTGCTGGCCCGGCTCCCAAGCCTCCCTGTCCTTGTCACGCGGCCCACAGCTCACAGGCCCCACCCCTCCCGGAGTGGGCTCGGGGGCTGGGGGAGCCCACAGTGAAGGGGCGGGGGTTCCTGGTGGTTCTAGAGTTGGGTTTCTCTGGAGTGATGGTGTTCAGAGCTGGGACCCCTCTGTTCTGTTCCTCTCATTTTCTGACTTCTTTCTCTTCTTTACTCTTCTCTCTCTTTCCTCTCCCACCCCTGGGCTCTCCCACCTCCCCCTGGGGCTGACGAGGTCCCTGCCCAGCACGTCCGGTCAGCCGGCCTCCGTGATGCGATGTGCCAGAGCAGTGCCCGGGCTCGGCCCCCGCTGATCCGCTGCCTTGACCCCTGCCCGTCTCTCCCCCAGGGCGAACGAGCTGGCAATGCCGCCGGCATCCATGAAGGTCTGAGGCGGTGAGTGCAGGCGGGGGGTGGGGTGGAGGTGGGGGCAGTTGGGGGGGACCCTCGTGGGAGGGGAAGGCAGGGTTAGGGGAGAGGAAGCACTTAGGCAGCCCTTCCTCCTGAAATGCTGCCCAAGTTGCCTGGAGGGCCCGTGGGCGGGGCGCAGGCTCCCTCTTCCAGTAAACCAGGTCCTCCTCCTTCCTCAGAAGAGCTGGGGGCATGGGTCAGGGCCGCAATAACCGGCTGAGACTCCCTGCTGTCCTGGAGTCTGTCACCCCGAAGTTTCCTAGAGGTGCCAGGGCCCGACTCCTACTTTGACCTTCCTCTGGGAGGGGCACTTCCCAGCAGTGCGAGACCCCAGGTCACCGCCCCACAGCCAGGCCCCAGGAGACACAGGAGATCCAGAGCCAGAGAAAGGCATTTCTCAGAACAGCAAGGAAAGTGAAGGAAACTCTAAATGACGCCTCCCAAAGCCCCACCTCTGACCTCTGACCCTCTTCCTTCTAGGTGCCTCTGGAACTATGAAGAACGCTCCCTCCCACCCAGCCTGGGAGGTGTCCTTCCGCATCCCAGCCCTGCGGGGCTGGCCAGCTTCCCACATGGCCCACGGCTGGACACTCACCATCTCTGGTCTGGGACTGCTGGGTGGCCATGGCTCCAAGAGGAGGCTATGTCCTCAGCGAACCTGGAGGGCTGTGTGTGCTGGGGCCACACAGCCGGACAGGCCCCCAGCTCTGGGTTAGGGCTGCAGGGCCCTCGGGACCCCAGGAGGCGGCAGCCCCCACTGGGTGTGTGGAGAGAGACTGGTCTGCCACCAGCTTACATGACCCTGGGCAAGGGCCTACCCTCTCTGGACCATGGGGCCAGGGAGCTGGACTTCCCTGTGGGGCTCGCTGGGCATGGCACTCGAGGAAGCTTTGAAGACCCAGCAGCTCCTGGACTGCACCCAGGGGCGGCCCAGGCCTCAGGGTGCCACTTCAGGCTCTGAGGCTCCCTGGTGTGTGGGACCATAGCCTTCCAGCTGGGCCTCTGACCTCAGAGACAGAGGATGGACTCAACCTGGCACCGAGAACTCCCTTGTCTCTGCTTCTTTGGGCTGGCTCCAGGGTGGGGACCTGGCATCACCAGGGGTGAAGGCCCTGGTGGCTGCTATATACCATCTGTGCCCCCAGACCTGGGATCTGGGGCCTGCCCGGAAGACAGGACTCCTTGTGGTCCCTGGAAAACCTGTTCCTATCCTCCTGGACCCCCAACACAAGCCAGAACCTGCTCCTGCCCCACAACAGGTTTTTTCCACAGGCAGAACCCAGGGGGATTCTTCCTGAAACCACAGGGAGCAACCAGGGCTCTGACAGCCAGAGGAAGCAGCCACCACCAAGCTCCTGACCCAAGGTAGAGCTGGTGCAGGCTGACACTTCAGAGCCACCTCCACCCACGTCAGCGCTGTTGCTCCCGTGCACTTCCACAGCCCATGACCACCTGTGGTCCCCCCTGCGCACACCATCCCACACTCACAGCCACGTGTGGGGCGCAGCTGCTGAACTTCACACCAGACCTTGGCGCCCACCGTGCAGCTCATCGCGTCCCCTCTGCTCCACACTCCCTCCCTGCACATTTGCTGGAATCAAGGTGGTTCTGGTCTGGGGCCCCTTGCAGCCAGGAGGAGACTCTAAGAGCCAGCTCCCTCTGTAGTTAGCAGCTGATGTGGCTTCAGTGGTGTGTAAGCTACTGGAATACCCACTCCCCACCAAACTCTGGGGCACCTTGGAGGGGGCCCAACAAGGGGGTGGGATCCCCAAAGACCAGCCTGGCCTCCACCCTCACCCCGGCCTCCACTGGGGCCCCAGCAATGTTTTCTTGTTGTACAAGAACCAGGTCCAAGTGTTGCCTCCTCTTCCTTCCGGAAGCCAAACTGCTCCTTTATTTTTTAGAGCTGCTGATTGTGAATCTCAGAGTCTTAAGAGAGAAGCCAAATATATTCCTCTTGTAAATGAAGAAATAAACCTATTTAAACCATGCCCTGGTGGCTCCTGCAGGAAGAGTAGCCTGGGGGGGGGGGGCATGCACAAGGAGTGGTCACACCTGGGCTCAGCCAGCATGATGGCTAGCACTGCACTGGTAGCATCTACCTGTGTCAACCGCCTGAACACCAGAACCCTGGACCTGGCCCACGTGGCTGGCAGCTGAGGTCCCAGCCCCAACAATTCAGATGTGCTCTGGCCTGAGAAACAGGGCGGCCAGAGCGCAGAGGCAGGGCCCGTGTCCCTGACTCCCCCAGGATCACGCAGACAAGGACTCAGGGCACGCTTGCTGCAGTGGGACCTGCAGGCAGGCTGGTGGCAGGGCCTCCACCCCAGTGCCAGAAGGCAGTACCTCACACAGTGGCTTGTTTATTAAAATCCCGGTGAAAAAATAGGGGTCTCTAGGGCTGACAGGGAGGGGCTAAGGGACAGGGCCCTTGCTCAGGGCTTTGCTGCCTTCTTTAGCTGTGCTTTCTTTCTCTTGGCCCCGCCCTGGAGGAGGAGGCTGGGGCTCCTGCTGGCCAAAGACAATCTTGCCTTTTTCCGTGGCAGTGCCAGCTGGGGCGATTTGCCTGAGACCCCCTTTTTGGGCAGCTCCTTCTGGTGCTGCTTTTTGCTAGCAGGCTCTGTGGGGGACACAGGAGGGGCTCCATTCACCTTGGACAGCTTCCGGTTTTTCTTCTGTAGTTTTGGGGTCTTGGCAGGGGTGCTGGGGCTCCAGGCAGGGGGCTCTGGGGCCAGACTCTTGGTGGCAGGGCTCTTGGCAATAGGCGTCCCATTCACCTGGGCCTGGGCTGCGACCTTAGCCTTCTTCCTTTTCCTCTTCTTGCCTGTGCTGGGGGGCTGGTCCCCACTGGTGGCCACGGGCTGGGCATCCTCCTTTTGTGTGATGCCCTCTGACTTGCGTTTCTTGCGCTTCTTGGTCTCTGGCAAGAATCCCTTTTTCTTCCGTTTCGTGCTAATGGGGCTCTGCGTGGCAGTGGAGACTTCCTTGGCATCCTTCTTCTCCAACTTGGGGCGCCTGGGAGGAAGTGAGCAAATGAGAAAGTGTCCAGCAAAGGCAGGTGTGCCCACCACCTCCATGGTCCCACGGGACCCAAGCTGCCCAAAGCTCCGACTCTGGAGCACGCACATCATGATGTGTGCAGCGTGAGGGTCTCTCTGGCCCCTCCCAAGGTATGGGCTGTTCCCAGGACCTACTGGACCCCGAGGACCTTCATGGCCTGCCAGTAGAGGTCGTAGAGGCGGCTGGACCCGGCTGAGTGCTCTGGCTGCTGCACCCTGTGCTGCAGTTTTGACTGCTGGCTCTGCAGCACGCCCTGGACGACTGTCAGGTCCATGGTCATCTTCTGTAAAGGGTGGCAAAGCTATGGCTACAGCGGAGACAGGAAGCAGGGCTTCTTCACAGCTCTTGGTCGCCGGTCCTCCCACCCTTGCCCAATTACTGCCTCTCCAGTGACCCCACACCCACTTCTGCACCCTCGGTCACTCCTTCTGGCTGTGAATCACCACCTCCACTTGCCTTGGGAAGAAAAAGGAGCCCCAGGGACGATGTCTCTTCCTTCGCCCCACAGCCAGAAGCCCCAATCTCTACGTCCTCACCTCCCACTCAGTCCTGCCTTGGGTGGCGCTGGCCGCCCACCTCTGAGGGCACCATGCAATGACGTCAGGGTGGCCGAAGCCATTCTCCCCCCCTCCCCACCACATCCGACTATTCCTTTAGACCCACTGGCTTCCAACGCACCCTTCTCTCCTGGCCTTTTACTGCCACTCTGGGCACCGATTCTCAGGCCCACCGGCTGTTCTGCAAAGCCCCAGCCCAGGCCCAGTCCCCTGCCTGAGGACCCTCTCAGCAAGCCTGCCCTGCATGTGGGTTGTGACTAGTGTCTACACTAGAGCTCCCAGACCTCTCCCTCTGGGCCAGACTGAGGGAGCCACTCGTCCTCAGCTGCCTCCTGCCCGTCCCACAGGCCTGGAGCCCTGGCTTCTTCTGGACAGCTGCCCACCAGGAGTGTCTCCAGCCCCGGCCCTCCCAGCCCCCACTCAGCTTTTTCTTACCACAGCACAAACAACAGTGTCCCCTCTCACCCCAGCCTGGCCAGGCTCCGGCATGGCTCTCTCTCCCCTCCCAAGCCAATCCCGTGTCCACGGCTCTCTAGCCCCGCAAACAATAACAGGCCAATTCCTCCCCTGGCATCCAGAACCTTCCCCACATGGGTACCCGCCTACCCCTAGGCCTTTGCTCAGACTAGTTCCTCTGCCTGCCTAGTGACCTCCTTTCGGAACTCGGGGCTTACCTCATGATGAACAATCCGCAGAACGGTGTTGAGCAGCTCCAAGGAGGACCGCTCCTTCAGTTGCTCTGACTTGGTCTGCGCTTCGCCCAGTGCCTTAAAGTTCTGAGGAGGTGGTGGCCATGCTGAGCTGCTCCACGCGCTTCCCGAAGCCCTTTCCCACATGCCTTCCTGGGGCAACCCCAAACCATCCAAGGGCTGGGTCCCAGTAATCCTCGCTCCCCATTTCTGAACCATTCCTGTGGGAGGGGACCGCCATGGCTGTTACCTCAGTGACCTTTGCCAGGATCTGGCCAATCAGCTGCTCCCACTCAGGGTCCTCAAAGCACAGCCTCAGCTCCCGAACAGGTAGGGCCTTCTGGAGCAGCAGGCAGGCCTGTGCCTGGGGAGGTGGAACATGGTCACCAGGAGACCTGGCATGCTGGGCCAGGCTTAGGATACCAGAGGGGACCCCAGGTCTGGCAGCCTGCTGAGCAGCTACTAAGGCCAAGACAACCCTGGTCTGTGTGAGGGGTGGCCTACTGCTCTGAATCCATCCTGCCTGGGTTGTTCCTGTGAAGCTCTGGGGTCTGTACCCATCCACTCTTGTCCCCTCTTCTCAGGCAGGTGAGGGAGCAGAGGCCTGGGGTGTGGGGCAGCAAGAGCTCTCAGCTGAACAGAGGTAGCAATCTGGACTGAAACAGTTCCTGACACCCTTTTACTGCTCAGTACTGTAGTCCTCCAGCCTCCCCAGGCCCCTCATCCCTGTCCCCACCCTGTCCCTGTCATCTAGACACCTGAGCAGATAGCTAAGGGGCTTCCCCTGTGCAGGTTGGAGTGTGAGCACTAAGGAGTCTGAGGGCTCCAGACATGTGGGAAGCGGAAGTGTCAGGGGCAGAGCTGCCCCACCCCTACAGCTACCCTGTGCCTATGGGGAGGGAGGGGCTGGCAGGGCAGGTTGGCCGGGTGGGGTGGGCCTGCTCACCCTCATTCGCCAGGCTGCCCTGCCGGGCCTCACCGACACCCAGCCAGAATGAGCCAAGTGGGGGGACTCAGGCCCTTACCTGATGGCGAGGCCGTGTCTGGCCCGTCATGTGCTGGATCACAACAGGGAGCAGGTTCTTACAGAGCAGCTAGGGAGGGAATGACAGGGCCGTGAGATGGGGCGCTGGGCTGCACAGGGGCTCCGTGGGGGCGGGCCGGCCCCACACTCACCGGGTGCCGGGAGAAGAGGCTGAGGAACATGGGAACAGTGAGCGGGCTGTTGCGCTTGGTCAGGAAGGAGCTCAGTGCTGATGAGTAGATCGGGGTCACGAGGCTCAAATCTAAGCAGCTGGTTGCCTGCGCCACCTGAGAAAAAGTCAGTGTGATGCCAGGAAGAGGGAAGGCGAAAGCTGGGTCCCTAAGGAGCTGTGGTCTCAACTCCCCACCCGTGAAACAGGCAAATGGTCCCGGCCCGCTGCTGGAATCTGCTCCTATCTATTGGCCCCGGACTTCCCAGGCTGAGCCTTTCTGGGCCAGGGTCTGCTCACCTCAGGGCCCTTGGGCTTGGCGCTGGTGTTAGTGCCTGCTTTCTCCTTCTTCTGGGTCTGGCGGACGGACTTTTCAGCAGTGTTACCCTTCAAGACCCGGAGCAGGTAGAGAGAGGCGTTGAAGTAGTAGAGGGAGACAGAGGAGTCGGCTTGGTGGCTGGCCTGCTGTACCAGCCGCTCCACCTGGGCATACAGAGTCTCCAGGCTGTTGCCCACATCACGGCAGTAATGCCGGGAGCGACACAGGTGGTGTCTGCAGGGCAGGAAGGGGAGGAGCTGGTCACAACATTCTCTTCCCGCCCAGGAGAGCCAAGCCTAAGTGTAGGGACCCTGAGTCCCACTTCACAGGCAGGGAGACACTTAAGAGAGGAAAATGGATCTGACTGAGGCTGCAGAGGGACGCCCGGGACCACCTGCAGATTTGCTCTGAGGACAAGCCAGAGGGGAAAACGGCTCCCTGAGCTAAGGCCGCACCACGGGCCGAACACAGTTCACATTCCCATCTATACTCGTCTCTGGTGAAAGACTGGCTCCAGTCCTTTGTGAGGCAAGATCAGGATCTGTGTGCCCAGAACCCTGCATGGCCCTGTAGGGCTGGGAACACAGCGGGGACCAGAGGCAGAGCACTGAACAGCCCAACACTGCCCAAACATGTGGCAGGGAGAACTAACAGAAAAGGTGGGGGCCCGAAGCCGGCATGAGAGATGAGTTAGGGGGGCACTGCCCATGTCCTTCTGCCCACCTGCTCTGCTCTGTGTGCTTGGCACCTCAAGACCCCAGGCCTTTGTGTCCCCAAGCTCCTCTGCACTCGGGAAGGCAGATCTATATCTGTCCCTTGCACCGTCCCTCTGGCTGGGCTCCCCGCTCTAGTGCAGCCCACACTGCCACTTTTTTCTTAAAAGACAAACCAGCCTCCATCCCCTGCCTATACTCCTGGTAAGAACACCTCTGTGGCTCCCGGCACTGTTAGGGTGGGGTCCACAGGGCTCTTACTTCCCAGCTGCAAACCTTCTGGACGTGCTCTGCCCTGCCAGTGGCCCCTGGGCTTGATGGAACCCTACAGCTCCCAACACTACTGACACCTTCCCAGGAGACCTTCCTGGCAGCTCCAGTGGGTTTGGTGCACCCACCACCTGTGTGCCTGCTGCTCCTTATCGGCTACCCTCCCCCCACCACAGCCCCAAGACACTGG